AGATGAAAAATTTGACCAGCTAAACTGAGGGACTTAAAAATGGCGAGTTATGGTTTATTCCACAGCCAAATCAAAGTCAATCTTTTTGACTGCACAATAAATATGCAACAATGTATTTCTCAAAGTTACACCAATAAATCACAGATCAATCTACTATTCTTCTACTTGTTTTGTAGAAAGACCTACTCAGTGCATTAGCAGTCAAAATGGTCAGTTTCTGCAAAATGTCTATTTCTGAATGAGAGCGAATATCATGCTGCTTACTTTTAATTATTTTTCTGCCATATCTGTAAAGGCAGTATTTATAGGCTTCTTCATCCAAACAGCTCCAGTGGCCATTGTGTCAGTCTTTTCATTGTTCCTTCATTTTCAAACAGGTTTAATCCAGAGCAGAAGAACAAACCTTCATATTCACACCACCGACTGCTTCAAAAACATGCAGGTATGGCTCTGCAATGACATTCACTCATCTCCCAGACGTAGCATTCATGCCTTTAACATTTTTGATTGTTCAGTTTTCCAGTGTTTTTGTTCATAACATTTATGGTCCTTCTGCTCCAGTGAGGGAGAAAAGAAAACTACTCCAAAACCATCTTCTGTTCTGGATGGAGAGAGTCACTTTTAAAGAAACACTAACCTGACAGCCAGTCATTGCTTTAAAAGTTAATATATGTATATATTTTTAAAAAGTGTTCATAAATTATTCAACAAAATTCAGTAGATAAAATACCACTTGTATTTCTGTCCTGAAATCACTGTGCTTTCTGCAAACAAAAACATTGAAAAAGAAGCAGCAGGTTTTTTGGGTTGCTATTCCATTGCCGTTTGTGGCAGGTTCTTCCAGCTCATCATCCTCAAAGCCGTGAAAGGTGGAAGTGTCGCTCTCCGAGGTGGTGCCAAACAGCTCTTCTGCTCCGGCCAAAGACCCATCTTCCTGCTCTTCTCCACAGTTAGCTGGGATACAGGAGAGGAGAGGAACAGTTAGTGTGTATGAGGTAAGTAACAAGCAAATTACAAATTCAAGAGTATCGATTTCTTCACACCCATCCGCTCTGAGCAGACTTTTAAATCAGATTGGATAGAAAAAAAAATTCTATATACATTTTACTTTGGTGCATCTAAACTCACCTGTGCATTGGCAGGCTGAGCAGGGAGACCCAGATTTACCCGTTTTCTTGTTCGATCGCTGGCATTTATTACAGTAGTTGCTGAGAATGCTGGTCCCACCTGGACCCTTCAGACCTGTGAGGATATTTCAGGGAAAACCTTTAGGGTGAGTGGGTAGAGTTATATGGAAGCATGCCATGCAGAGATATTATGAATTCATCTCACTTTATTTAGCTTTTAATTAAGTAATTAACTGAATTATTTGTTTGAGTTTTGTAGATTTATTCTCTAAAGAAATGCAATGCGTTTTCTATTTTAAGTTTTGCGCTGGATTTTTCTGGTGTCAGTCCTCCCTTGGATTGGCTTCATACATTGTATCTTATACTAAAGGAAGTCGCCAAAAACAACCTTTTTTTTTTAATGGTGGTATTAAACCCTTTCGAGCTTAATAAAGGAGCTGGGATTTGTATGCAGACTGACGGGCTGCCTGAAAAACCCAACTCTGGCTTGTAAACCCACATGGCTAAAATTGAAAGAAAAAATGAGACATGATTATTGTAAAAACCTAAACCAAAATTAACCTGTGAATGTCAAACTATTTTTTGACAAAAATTTAATAAAATATTGAATAATAGCTGTGACTATTATTGATTAAAGCTCGTAGGAAGGGTAAGGGGTGGGCCATGCACCCAAGCTTAAGGGTGCAGTTGTCACTCAAGGATGTTGTCCAAATTCCTTCAGTTATTGTTACAAAACTGAATCGCATCTCCATCGCTGACCCAGACTTTAATTCATCCAACAGCTTAACTTGTGAAACTAACAATTCATCTACATTGTGCTTTGTTCTTTTAAAAGTTGCCATCAAAAATGAAGTCATATCAGTGCCACAACTGTCACCCATAGTAAGCAGTGAGGCTAGCAATAAAGTGGATATTTTGACTTGGAAGACATTAAATGCTTAAGTGGATAACATCAATATCGCTTGGAGAGGGTGATGAGACGTTAGAAATACAGATTAACTTATAACAGCGTGCAAGTTTTTACAAATACCAGTAAGAAGAATGTAATTTATAAAAAAGCTGGGTTAATTCTTCATGTAATACTTAAGATCTTTACAGCTCCCCCTTTTGTACCTTCTTTACAGTGAGATGACTTTGTTCTCCTGACTTGTCACAAATCTAACATCTGACAATGTTTTCTTCACAGTTAGTGAAAACAAGACTAACAGAATTAAGACCCATTTAGGCACATCAAAAAAACTGTAGCAAAATTAGTTTTTAAATAACATCAACCTTTTTTAAAGACTAAATACTACAGAAGTGCATTGCATTCACCAAAAGGAAAAAAATGGAAAGGATTTTATCTCCTATTACTATGTAACACTTGTTTTACCACAACTAGCTTTACTATGTAACAATGCAAGGGTTGGAATGCTGCAGAACTTGCCTGGAAATCTTCAGGCTTTAAATGTTTTTTGGAAGTAATTAATTCAGTGAGAGTTTTCAGTACACCCAATAGTATATAGCAAAAGTGAACTGTTAATAGCTAATTCAGCATTATTAGTGTTCCAAAATGTAAATAAATATAGGCTACAACGGGCTTTGAAGCTGCTGCCTACAGTGTAACTCACTATATACTGTACATGTATTGAGCAGGAGGTTGAAAGCTTCAGAACCTGCTTGAGAAACAGGTTTTTAAGATTCCTTCAGTAGGCTATTTATGTAATTCTGACAGCACATCTAACAGCAGGTAACATAATGAACTGTTAATGGATAATTCAGCATGCTTAGTGCTCCAAAACCACAAGTCTAGTCTAGGCTAAAAACGACGCCTACATTGTAACGCACTATATCCATGGCAACATTACATAGACTATAGACTACTTCCTGATTATATCTCTTAGCACAAGTGATAATGGTAAAAGTTCAATCACGCGAATATATCATACTTTTACAAGAAACCCCAAGTATTTTTGCCATCGATATGAGTTACTTTGGGCACCATTTTTAGCCTACATTTGTTTACATTGTGGAACACTAAGTACGCTGAATTAACCATTATCGGTTCATTTTTGATATGTGCTATTGTATCTAATGACAGAATTAATACTGAACAAGTCTTAAAAACCCAATGTTTCTCAAGCAGGCTCTGAAGCTTTCCAACTTCTGCTTAGTACATGTATATGGTCTTATGGTAAATGGTCTTATACTTGTATAGTGCCTTTCTATGCTTTTACTGCACACTCAAAGCGCTTTCACATTATTCGGCCATTCACCCCTTCGCACTCCCAAGCACTCATGCATTCACACACATTGGTGACATCACCGGGAGCAACTGGGGGTTCAGTGTCTTGCTCAAGGACACTTCGACATGTTGACTGGACAAGCCGAGAATCCTCCGGTTAGGAAACGACCCGCTCTACCTCCTAAGCCACAGCCGCCCCCAAATAATAAATTACAATGTTTCTAGCCTGTATTTGTTTACATTTTGAACACCAAGTATGCCTAATTAGCTATTAACTGTTCACTTTTGCAATGCACTATTGAATGTACTGACAACTGTCGCTGAAATATTTTGATAGTAAAGAATTTTTTTAAACCTGATGATTTTCAGGTAAATTCTACAGCTTTCCAACATCAGCATTATTTTGTAATTACAAGAAAAAGATATTGTTGTTGCATTCAGAGTCAGTTGTTTAATACGGCAGCACTGGGGCAGTCTATTAGGCGGACACATGGTACATACTGTAATACAAACTGATGGTTTGTTTGAGGAAACTGAACACCAAGACAGATCACAGAACAGCAGTCAGCCATCTTACGTTTGTGTCTGTCAGTCTGTGGTGCAGAGGGGGACCTTGATGCCGCTGTGCTCCTCTCTCCGGCTCTGTCCTCCTCTGCCAGGTGGGAATGGGTGTAGTGGTAACTAAGCCCTGTACGGTTCCTGTAGCGCTTTGCACAGACTGCAACAAACAAAGGGCAGATGTTCAGTCCTACCGCCACAGCTGCATTTCATTATTACATTTCTAACTACAGGATGTTTTCTTTTCAGACCACTGGTGTTTAAGATAGGCCTCAGGCTTTGATGCTGTGCTTTGATTGCAATGAGACTTGCACAAAGCTACAAGCTGAACACCCATGCAGTCTCTGGCAAACTGGTGATGCCTGTTATATAGCAACATAACAAAAAATATCTCCATGCCGTTTTTGTTCTTTCCAGTCCAAAATGATAGTTCCATAATAAATATAAAAACTATGCAGGAGTTGTGGCATTTTATGGAGTTAACTATTCTACTTCTGGCTCTAAAGGGGAAAAACAGTCAGCACTTTAGAATCTGATTGCAAAAGTCAGTCAAATAAAACCCAGACAACATAATAGCCATGTCTCAGTTTCACAGCACCAAGGGCATTTTTCGGCTTGAGAAAAGTAAGACAATATAGGAGCCAAGTCAATAATCACAGTACTTAACACTATCGCTCAACCATCCTATTAAAACAAATATCTAAAGAAACAAAACTATGGTCCAAAAGAGTGAAAAATTAAGGTACCTGAGGTCGAAGACTTTGAGTTCTGTTTTTGTTTATATCTGTCTGAAACAGAAAAATCACAAAGCAGAGAAGGGGAAACGGTATGAGTATATGTCCTTCAAGAAGATTCACAGCAGCAAGAGTACATTCCAGTACCCCACAACCTGGATTTTCCACACACAACTTGTACAGTTGTGCAAAGAAGAATGGAGTAAAATTGCAGCGTCCTGCACGCCTGACTGAGACCTATCCACACAGACTCAGTGCCATGATTGCAACCAAAGGTGCATCTACTAAATACTGACTTGAAGGGTGTGAATATTTATGCAATCACTTATTTCACATTACATATTTTTATTTAACTGACATTACTTTGTAGAAACCTGTTTTCACTTTGACATTAAAGAGGTTTGTTGTAACTTTTTTTTGGTCAAAAAGCTAAATTATATTGACCATGATTGATTTATAAAATCAATAAAAGGGTAAAGCATCCAAGGGGGTGAATACTTTTTATAGGCACTGTATGTGCAGAAATACCTGAGACTAGAATGATGCTGGTTCATCTTGTTTAACTGTTAAAAGCTGTTGGTGATAGAGTTACACTGGGTGGACTTCTGAACAACAAAAGCCCTGACAGTAACATGTGATCTGTGGCTACTGTAGAGAAATAACAGTTCTCTATTATAACAAGTTCTTGGGCAAATGTGTTTGACACAGATCTGTAGTTGTTACAGTTTCCACTCATTTAAGTATATGGAGAAAAAAATGTCTGGTGGAAAGAATGCAAAGGCTTTAACTTTAGTGAGAGTGGAAAAATAAATGAATGCTTGGAAACATATGATCTGAGATGAATAAAGGAAATTAAAATGTATGTAAACAATCAGTAGTATAAAACAGACTTTGCAGCATATATTTTTCACTTAATTGATTGTTAAGAGGTATTTGGGTGTGGTACGATTTCTATGCTCAGAAATATTGTCAGTCATGTATGATTTGTGCAACTAACAATCCAGGTAAAACAACACCACTCACACAACAAGCAGCACAACCTACAGTATTGCTCACAATAATAGCAGTACAATGTGACTAACCAGAATAATCCAGGTTTTTAGTATATTTTTTATTGCTACATGGCAAACAAGTTACCAGTAGGTGCAGTAGATTCTCAGAAAGCAAACAAGACCCAGCATTCATGATATGCACGCTCTTAAGGCTGTGCAATTGGGCAATTAGTTGAAAGGGGTGTGTTAAAAAAATAGCAGTGTGGCATTCAATCAGTGAGGTCATCAATTTTGTGAAATAACAGGTGTGAATCAGGTGGCCCCTATTTAAGGATGAAGCCAGCACTTGTTGAACATGCATTTGAAAGCCTGAGGAAAATGGGTCGTTCAAGACATTGTTCAGAAGAACAGCGTACTTTGATTAAAAAGTTGATTGGAGAGGGGAAAACCTATAAAGAGGTGCAAAAAATTATAGGCTGTTCAGCTAAAATGATCTCCAATGCCTTAAAATGGAGAGCAAAACCAGAGAGACGTGGAAGAAAACGGAAGACAACCATCAAAATGGATCGAAGAATAACCAGAATGGCAAAGGCCCAGCCAATGATCAGCTCCAGGATGATCAAAGACAGTCTGGAGTTACCTGTAAGTACTGTGACAGTTAGAAGACGTCTGTGTGAAGCTAATCTATTTTCAAGAATCCCCCGCAAAGTCCCTCTGTTAAAAAAAAGGCACGTGCAGAAGAGGTTACAATTTGCCAAAGAACACATCAACTGGCCTAAAGAGAAATGGAGGAACATTTTGTGGACTGATGAGAGTAAAATTGTTCTTTTTGGGTCCAAGGGCCACAGACAGTTTGTGAGATGACCCCCAAACTCTGAATTCAAGCCACAGTACACAGTGAAGACAGTGAAGCATGGTGGTGCAAGCATCATGATATGGGCATGTTTCTCCTACTATGGTGTTGGGCCTATTTATCGCATACCAGGGATCATGGATCAGTTTGCATATGTCAAAATACTTGAAGAGGTCATGTTGCCTTATGCTGAAGAGGACATGCCCTTGAAATGGTTGTTTCAACAAGACAATGACCCCAAACACACTAGTAAACGAGCAAAGTCTTGGTTCCAAACCAACAAAATTAATGTTATGGAGTGGCCAGCCCAATCCCCGGACCTTAATCCAATCGAGAACTTGTGGGGTGATATCAAAAATGCTGTTTCTGAAGCAAAACCAAGAAATGTAAATGAATTGTGGAATGTTGTTAAAGAATCATGGAGTGTAATAACAGCTGAAAGGTGCCACAAGTTGGTTGACTCCATGCCACACAGATGTGAAGCAGTTATAACAAACTGTGGTCATACAACTAAATATTAGTTTAGTGATTCACAGGATTGCTAAATCCTAGAAACAAAAACGTTTGTACAACATAGTTTTGTGTTTGTACAGTCAACGGCAGACACTGCTATTTTTTTGAACACACCCCTTTCAACTAATTGCCCAATTGCACAGCCTTAAGAGCGTGCATATCATGAATGCTGGGTCTTGTTTGCTTTCTGAGAATCTACTGCACCTACTGGTAACTTGTTTGCCATGTAGCAATAAAAAATATACTAAAAACCTGGATTATTCTGGTTAGTCACATTGTACTGCTATTATTTTGAACAATACTGTATATTTCATACATTACACAATGTATACAGTATATAGTGAGGTACAAAATTCAGAGCAGATTTTTGGTACACTTGAAAGTATATTAAATTTGGGCCTCTAACAAAAAAGGCTAAATAAATGTCAGAAGACTCAGACTAGAAAGAGTATTGTGCTGTAAACTCACCAAGTGATACAGTAAAAACCTGATTTTTTTTTTTTTTTGAATTGATCTCTACTTACTGTCACAGACGTATGGCTTGTCATCATCCAGATCTGCCCTCCTGCGGCCTGAACCCCGACCCTGAGGGACGAAATATCCCAGTAAGACCTGCAACAAAATCTGTGCCTCAAGCCTTCCAACATACACACACACACACACACAAGGGTATAAACCCATTTCTACAGTGTGTTACTAAGACCTCTGTGGCCTCAGTAATTGTGAAATTGAAGAAGTCTGGAACCGCCAGGACTCTTCTTAGAGTTGGCTGTCTGGCCAAACTGAGTAACTGGCAAGAAGGCCCATGGTCAGGGAGGTGACCACTGCACCGTAAAACCACAGACTATATATAAATACAGATAATGTGAAAGCTCCCAGAAGTGAAGCCACCACAAGTTGATCACCTCCTGGTGGCTGCTTGCAGTATAGGTCATAAAACCCACCCCTCCATGTTGATGAGTGGTACATGAGCCAAACTAAAACCTCAAAGTACAAAATAAATTTTTTCCAGAGGTTATGTCTTTTGGTTTTGGTAGATATTACCACTCTGCTTTGTGTGCAAGTGTTCTTTTCTGGTAGGTTTGTTTTTAATAATTTATTTTATGAAATAAACGCGGGTGTACTGACAACATCTTGATCACATGGGGGTGTGAGCCACTGAGAAGCAACACATAACTTACGCTAGCTTGTATAATGAAGCCCTTGGGGCTGGGCATTATTTTCACCTCATCAGAAGACCAAGTGAAAAGATTCCATTTTCAAATCTTTCAATGAAATTACAGATAAAATGTGAACGCCAAATGTAAGAATGTTCCGTCAGCACAACATTTCAGCCAATCACATCTCAATGACCTGGTTCTGTTGGAGGCAGAGCTTGGCACCACATGGTCCTGGGTAGAAGCAGGGCCTACTGAAGCCAAGCCAGCAAGGTCGCCTCCTGCTGTTAGCAACCAACAGAAACAGAGGCCAACATGTGCCTGCCAAGCTCCACATGATAAAAGTGAGCTAAACCTCACTGAAGGAAAAAAACGCTATAACAGAGCTTCAGACGTGCTCTGCAGAAAAGGAAGAACCTGCCAGGAGGACCACCAGTAGTAGAGTGGTTAAATGGTACCACTTTGAATAGAAGTGGGGTGATTACAGTGTAATTTTTCCAAAAGAACAAGGTTTGTCATCGGATGTGGCAAGTAAAGCTACTGTTAATATTATATAAGTTTAAGACTACTGTATAACTTAAGTACTTGATCACTGATGTCCATTTGGTCACTTACTCTCCCTTTGCCCCGATGTCTCCTTTTAGGTATGTCCACCTCGTAGTCGTCATCATCATTGAAAGCATCCTCTGCTGCATCTGCCTCCAGAACCCTCTGAGACAGACAGGAAAGACCATTTCAACACTCAGCTCTGATTAAAAGTACCAGCTGGCTGGGAAAAAAAAAAAAAGAAAAGAAAAAAAAAAACACTGAACAGCAACAACAGAGAGAGAGAAATAAAATCAATTCTTCAATCTGGATATTTTACACAGATATACAATCTGAACTTGTATAAGGTTCAAGGATTTTATTGTCAATTCACCATATGTGCAGGACATACAGAAAATTGAAATACCGTTTCTCTCTCACCTAGTATTGGATGCCATAACATTTAGGAACCAAAATAGAAAAAAAATGGAATATAATAGAATAAGAACTGGATTGACGTAATTAGGATAAATCCAAACGGTTCAGCTCAGCCAATAAGCTGTGACTCAAAACCGTGTACAGTCAGTGACAGTAGTGCAAACAATAATAGGAGATTGTCAGAGGGTTCAGCATCACCAAGCCGTTGGTGATGAGGTGCATATAGCATACAGTGGGTACGGAAAGTATTCAGACCCCCTTAAATTTTTCACTCTTTGTTATATTGCAGCCATATGCTAAAATCATTTAAGTTCATTTTTTTCCTCATTAATGTACACACAGCACCCCATATTGACAGAAAAACACAGAATTTTTGACATTTTTGCAGATTTATTAAAAAAGAAAAACTGAAATATCACATGGTCATAAGTATTCAGACCCTTTGCTCAGTATTTAGTAGAAGCACCCTTTTGAGCTAATACAGCCATGAGTCTTTTTGGGAATGATGCAACAAGTTCACACCTGCATTTGGGGATCCTCTGCCATTCCTCCTTGCAGATCCTCTCCAGTGCTGTCAGGTTGGATGGTAAACGTTGGTGGACAGCCATTTTCAGGTCTCTCCAGAGATGCTCAATGGG